AAAGGTGTACACCCTCTCAGTGTCTGGAGACCGGCTGATTGTGGGCACTGCAGGCCGCAGAGTGCTGGTGTGGGACTTACGGAACATGGGCTATGTGCAACAGCGCCGGGAGTCCAGCCTCAAGTACCAGACTCGCTGCATCCGGGCATTTCCAAACAAGCAGGTACTGACCTATTCCCCACCCCCTGTTTGCGAATTTGAAAATAAGATCTCATCTCATTGGTCACTGCCTTTTAAAGCTTTGCTTTTTAAAAAATGTTTTGAGTACTGATTTAGAATTTGCTGTAGTTACATTTTCAACTGCCTTGTGTTATAGAGTGGTGTGTTAACCCAGTTTCATATAAGATCTTGATGTTCAGAGAGATTAAGTAATCTATCAGTGGTTTGAATAGAGGTCTTCTGATTTTCTTGGTCCAGGATGCTTGACAGGTATATGGTAATCAGAGAGCGTTTTGCACATATTTCAATTTACCAAGCCAGTGATTTCAAATTTAAATCTGGAAATTTAGGATTATGGAATTTGCTGTACTCTTTTTTTTTTTTTTTTGCCTCTTTGTAACTCTGATACTAATAGAGTTCTTTAGCTGGTCTGACAGCAGAACTTGGATTTTTTTTTTTTTTTTTTTTAAGAGAAGGCGATAATCCTTAGGTAATGACTACCTCTTTTGAAACATGGGGTGGGTTCCCCTCCCCGTCATCACTGCTAAACAAGATTGCCCTGTTTATTAGTGAGCCTCTTTTCCCCTCAAATCCTTAAAGTTTGAAGGAGAGTTGGTGGTGGTGTCAGCTGCTATAAGAATTTTATGAGAGGAAAAGTCATTAAAAACGGCAGATATCTTTGAAATCTTTTGCTGTCCTTTAATGGTTGAGGAGCTAGATGCAATTGTCAGTTATTCTCTTGGCCCTTTATCTTGAAAGGCTGGTACCTCAAATGGTGATCACAGTTCTTTTTCTCAGGAAATTGTAAATTTCCATTGAAGATAAGGCATTGAAGTTATGTGACTTTTAAAGATTTGACTGTGATTATAAGATATCCTTGTATTTATAAATATTATTTTTATATCTTATGTCTAAAACTTTGTTAGTATAAATGTTTCTAGTTGATGATGGAAGTTTAAGATTTCACTGATTTTTTTTTTTCTCAAGTAGTTTTCCAGGAATAATTCTTTTTCATACCTTTAGAATTAAAAAAATAAAATATAGGGTTCATATTATCATATCCTTTAGTTTCTTTGACATATTGTCATTTCAAGGAAAGGTGAGAAAAGGTTTGAAACGGCAAACTACTTTGAAGATTGTTGAAAATCTGTGTTGTTTGTGTGTGAACTCAACATGCTGTACTTAAATGCAAAAGGCAGAATGACTGAGGTGGAAAGCTGGTGTTCTCATTGATTCGGATCATTGATAC